CGGGCCCTACTTCTTCGAAGAAAACGGTCACATCGTTACGGTTACTGGAGACCGTTACTTGAGCATGTTGGGAGAGTTTTTTTTTATCCAGAATTACGCCGAATGAGAATTTCTTTCAACTCTGTGTGGTTTCAGCAAGATGGTGCAGCTCCTCACATAGCCCAACCTGTTATGACAGAATTGCGACGGAAATTTCCCAATAAGCGTTGGCCACCCAGGTCGCCTGACCTTACTGCACCTGACTTTTTCTTGTGGGGTTATTTCAAACAGGAAGTCTAAAAGCACAACCAACAAATGAACTAAGGCAATCCATTCGAGAAACAATTGCGGCTATTCCTGTCTAAACTCTCTAAGCAGTAATGAACAACATTTTGGTAGGATGCCGCACATGCATCAACGAGCAGGGGGGCATTTGAATTCCATTATTTTTAAAACTAATTAAGCTATATTTAATAAAATTGAATGAGCTATAACATGAATAAAAGAAAAATGAATTCCATACACTGAAAAAAAAAATTGTTTGAGTTTCTTAATGTAGCAAAATTCATCCGCCACCCTGTATGCTATTGGGAGAAATGCATAGGCATGCCTCTATCTGAAGGTATGTTACATGGCGGTCTTGGATTATCAGTTCACGTACCGCATCGATGTTCACGGAATTCGTCTTTGAGCGAGCGTGGGCCACGATTGAACTCGTACCAGTTTTTCACAGTGCCATAGGATGGTGCTTCATAGCCATACAAAGATTTTAGTTCATCGATGCATTCTTGTCGTGATAATCCACGTCGAAAGCTGTGAAAAATGATCGCACGAAAATGTTCACGAGTTAATTCCATTTTTTGGCCGAGATGAATTTTTTAATTCCCTGTAAATAAAACAATCCACGATTAAATGACAAAACGTTCTGAGTGATGTTATGCTAAAAAATGTCAAACTTTCCAATGGAAATGTCAGATTGCACCTGGCAACACTTAGTGTTGCCTAGGCCAGAAATATATATATTTGACTCTTTTAGTTTTAGGACTTACAAACAACCGTTATATGAACAAAAATATAATACTCTCCTTAGCAACTTTGTTGCGAGAGTATAATAAATTTTGTGGTTTCTTTCTATTCACAGCAACATATGTATATTTAGCATTAAATATTGCATATAAAATTTTTTTTTTTTACACAAATAAAAATAATTAATGCTAAAGCTTAAAATGCGCCTAATTCATATCAAAAAAGTTTACGTACACCAATGATTATTTATATAAATCAAAAGTAATTACAATAGCATTAGCGGTTTTTGGCCTACATATTGTTGCTATTATTGTCCCTAGACGTCGACGCGCAGTAGGGAATGTGTTGAATAGTGTTGGTTTTCATAGACGAATCGCACGTCGCCATACGTCGTAAGGATAATAAAAAGAACAGGTCGGCGGTTGCCATACATTATTTAAACATACCGTATTGGTTTTGGGAAAACATTGTGTTCACCGGCGAATCAATGTTTAATATATTTGGTTCGAATAGATCACGAAAAGTGTAGAGAAAGATCAATGAAGATTCACAAGAAAAAAATAACAATAATAGCAACAATATGTAGGCCAAAAATCGCTAAAACTACTGTAATTACTTTTGATTTATATAAATAATCATTGGTGTACGTAAACTTTTTTGATATGAATTTGAAGAATCTTAAGTGTAAAAAAAAATTTTTTTTTTGATATGCTATATTTAATGTTAGATATACATATATTGGTGGATAGAGAAATACCAATTTGATACAAAATTTATTAATTTTAAAAGAAATAAACGTGTCGTAATTTAATAGATGTAGGTGTATGTAAACTTTACTGGTCCACTGCAAGTGTAGAATTCATAATGCTAAGAAAAATTGCAAATTTTTGGACTTAAAACTCGAATCTATGTGTGTACATAGCCTTAATCTGGAGAACATTACCATCCGCCCTGGATTGTTAAATAAAAGTCTCAATTTATAAGTTTTTTCTTAATTACTCATTATCTGATTTTAAAAATTCTTATTTATAGTATATCTCAACTTCTTTTACATAGCAGTTTTCGTGTCAAAGATCTTTGATCAGATCTTCATAGATGCCCAATCTAAAACTTCAAATACTTTCATACTACTTAGTCTCTTAATGAGATTTAATGCCTTACTTACTTCACTTACGTATTAATAGACCAATGATTGGAATGCTATGAATCTTTTGGTTCACTTTAGAGCACCTATATCCACTTATGCCTCAAAATAAAATATAAAGTTACATTTTAAACAAATAAAATATAAATATATTTCTTGTTTTTTTTTTTTTTTTACTTTTTTTTTTAATTTTTAGCACTTATTTTGTGTATTTTTTAAGGGGGTCGGATAATTTAGAGGCCTAAAAAATCGCTGTTTGTTAAATTTTTAATTTTTGAGTGAAAAACACTAGAAAATTCGTTCAAAGAGTACATTTTAGTGCATATTTAAATTCTTGTTTCGATTAAACAAACCATATCCATGTTTCCGTGAAATTGAACTAGTATTAATTTTTAAATCTTTATTTTCGATTTACTTTACAAAACTGAGAAACATGAAATAAAATAACTAAAATGTTTTAATGTCAGTTATGTTTTGAAAAAATAAGTAATCGTACTAATGATTGATTTGATCCAAGTAGACGAACTTTTTTTGACTGATCACGCCTGAACAAATCGTTCGATCTTATTGCGAAAATTCTTAACTTATGGTCAAGTCGGCCTACTGATCGTACTAATGGCAACACACAGCATTCATAATTGATAATATTCGACCGAATAGACTACGCAATAAAGAAAATAGAAGTATTGTATAGTGGGATAAAAGAGTCGATTCGGGGCCGTTCGGACTGACGTGTGGAATGACTTGGCGCATTTAACGTCGATATCTTAAGTAGAAATCGTGCAAAATACACAATGTGCATGTACTGAAGCCGCTCGACCTTCCCAACCGGCATTGCTTTGCTCTATGGGCCCTTAAAAAGTTCCAAGAAGATCCGACGTTTTCGAGCTAAATTTTGTTCAGCAATGAGAGTATGTAAACAAGCAAAATTGCCACGTTTGGGACGAAGAGCAACTTTTAAAGATTCATTAGCTGTCATTTCTTCCAGAAAAAATAACGGTTTGGAATGGTTTATGGGCCGGTGGAGTCATCGGTCCATATTTCTGCAAAATGGTGCCGGTACCAAGAAAACTGCCAAATAATGTTCTTTCGAATGATATTCAATTTCTCCATTAAATGTGAAGTTTCTGTTTTAATAGATTTATATTTTAATAAACGCTTTTTTTTATGTTTTCATCTAGACAATCTTTTTTTAAGAATTAGTAGTAATCGTTGATTTAATCTGTATCTTTCATTAATTGCCGTACACCTTTTGCCTTAAACGTTCAAAGCTTTGACAAATTGTTTTATCGTTCGTAATTTCTCATATATTAAACTCCTGGGTTCGTTTTAAGAAAATAACTTTCCTGTAGATGTTTTACCCATTAATTCATATAGTCCAAGCGAATTACTTTTGAAACTAAAACAAAATTTTCTTTGCCTAAATGTACATTTTATACAGCTTTTAATATTTTACAAAATATAAGTCGAATAAAATTGATAGTTGAGATTGTTTTCGTGCAATCATGCGTTAAATAATAAATAATAACAAATTGTAGTTCGTTTTCTTAATATTTAGATAAGAAACCTCGATCTTTTATCACTGCGACACATGTGATTAATAATTTAATTAAAATAACGTTTAATAATTTAAGTAAAAAGATAATCATCGCAACAGAGTTGGTTTCGAACATCAATTGTTAAAATTTTACACTCGTTTTGGCTATGTATAATGTAAAATTTGTTTACACCATCTTAAATTTTTTCACTGTCATTCAACACAGAGAATGAAGTTACCGATTGACGATAATTGTTACGCTGAAATGCGTGTCCTTTATTGATATTTTCAAGACAGATTTCGTAATGTATTTACTTAATTACACTTTTTTTGGTAGCTATAGAGTGACAGTTGATTTGCCGGTGGCTTCCTTGGTAATACTATCTTCTGTTTTCTGGGAATAGGGAGAAAGGAAAATTACGTCGTTAACTCGGGCAAGGCTATTAAATTTACAAATAAGTAAGGGAGGCCCAATTGTCCAATTTTTATACTGGCTCCAATAATGCCCTGTCCTGCTATTTGGGTGGAAAATTTAATGTCTCTTACGCATTTCGTTACCGATTTATTGCACTTTAAATAGTTTTTTAAAATAACGTTATATGGAGAGGGAGCGGATTTAATCCATTTTCACACTGTCAGTAGTCCGTATTTTCTTTTGTACTAAAGAATACGCATACCAATCTTCATCAAGATATCTAAATGTTTACTCAAGTTACAGCTTTCACGGACGGACGGAAAGACGTCACCCAGATTTCAACTTTTTCTCGTCATCCTGATCATTTATTTTTTATTGAATTTTCAATTGTTCATAAAATTTTTTTTGATGACTCATTCCCAGTTCTTTACTGATGATACGGCTGCTACTATGCCGGTCTCTTTCGACCAATTCAACGATTTTATCGCAATTTTCGACGACAGGCCTTCCGGAGCGTGGCACATCTTCGACCACCTCTACACCAGAACGAAAACGTTGAAATCATCGTTGTGCGGTGGAAATGGAAACTGTATTGGGTCCATAAACTGCACAAATTTTATTGGCGGCTTGAGATGCATTTCTGCGCGTGAAATGAGCTTTCCAAAAAGGTATAGCATGACCCCATGCGACGAATAAAACTAGAACTACGCGCTCTCAGCGCCAACTAGCGAAAATACCTTTCACTTTTTTGACAACCTAATATGTATAACTATATCTATCTCGTTTAATTCCACCACCGGACCAATTTTCATAGTTATTTTTTGCATAATAGCCTTTTATGTATGTTTACCAAAATTTATGGAGTAATAGTGGACTAAAATCAGATTTACTTTTTTCAGGTTCTGGATCATGCCTATTGGAAAATCATTGGGCATTAAGTCTTCTCGATCAAAAAAAGCTTCCAATAACTCTGTTTTGGAAAGAGCTTACCAAAAGTGTAATAAGTTGAATTACAAACTGGTAAGTAAAAGTTTTGTTGAAAGAGTTCTTATTTTATAAAAGCAATAAGTATTTCCGTAAATTCCCATTTCGAGTACATTTTCTGCCCGCGGTGTTCATAGTTGTTTTGTGTCGAACCACTTTCTACACTGGCGGCCCTCGGCCGAGTTTCAAAAAAAAAAAATAACCCTGGTCGGTCCAACACCGCGGTGTTCATAGTTCTTTTGTGTCGAACTACTTTCATATAAATATATGAAACAATATTTCATTTTGAATCATTTATATCTCTAAATATGAAAAAGATTTTTGATTATATATGGCAACACTGCTATTTGTCATAAATGTAAACACACAAATCTCTTGAAAGTTTGAATGTGCAAAATGGTTTTTAAAGTATATTTATTTTCTTAAAAAATACGCAATTAGTGTATATTTTTGATATTCGAATGTGTACAGTGTAATTAAATATATATTAATTAAAAATGTGTGAAAAGTGAGTTAAACATAATGAAATAATGAGCATTGTTTTTACAAATTTTTGAAATTTAAACAGAAATATCTCGAAAACTATGAGTCTGAGGAAGGTATATGTGTATCAATTTTTTAATCCTGAAGACCTCCTCTATCCATCCGTACCATCAAATCGCGGCGCCAAAAGAATCGTAATATTTGCTTTGGCTTCTAGACAAAAGTAGTTTAATTGCAAATAAATTTAGAGTAAAATAACGGAAATCATGTATGCCGCCAGTGAAAAAAGTAGTTTGACACAGAAGAACTATGAACACTCCGGACTGACCTTGGTTATTTATTTGTCTTTATTTATCAAATAACATGAGACACAAATACCATTGTACTATTTTCTCTATATATGTTAAACAGAAAAAATTTTCATAGTTTTTTCAAAACACAATACGTCGCAAAACTGGTATTTGTCATGTCATGAAAATAAAAACAAAATAAGAGTGAATTGCATATAAAATTGTGGAATTTTAAATACCAATATCTCGCAAATATAAGTCTGAGAAGGGTATATGTGTGCACATTTTTTAATCCAAAGATCATCCTCTATCAGGTTATACTCTCAAATCGCGGCGCCAAAAAAATCGTATACTTGTTAAAATTTTAAATTGTCAAATTATCTTGGCTTTAACTCCCTTTTAATAAAATATTCTGTCTCTTCGAACGTGGCTTTGAGATTTTATTTTCGATTGAGAATCATAACGTGGATTTGCTGAACTTTCCAGAGTTGGATACTATTTATAACAGGATTTTTACATGCTGAAGGCTAGAGAAGACAGTCTACTTGAAAGCGCTGAGCTTACATTTGTTGGAAGCACCCAACATTCAAAATATTTGGCAGTAATGCTAAATTCTTAACAAATTGTAAAAGGAAATATAAAGTAATAAAAAATAATAACATTCATAAAAATTTAAAATACTTGGGTAACATTTGTTGTGGAATTCCTAAGTTTCTGTGCGTTTGTCAGTTTTTAAAGGTTCTTAAGTTGTCATTCTTAAATAATCATAAGTATTAAAAACTATCACTTTATAAAATAGCGCTGTTTAAGAACTGTTATTACAATTATAAATATTAGTTTAATAAATATAATGCAGCAACAGACAAAGTAAATTCATAAAAAACAAAGTATTTAAAAAGCAACTTCTTTTGAAGATTAATTTTGAGAACTATTCAGTTAGAAATGTTTATATGAATAATCATGTAATGCATTAATATAAATGGATGGACGATATATAACGACAATGGAAAATTGTAGGGCATCCACCTGGAATGTCCGGTCCCTTAATTGGGAATGTGCCGTTGCCCAGCTGGTTGATCTCCTCATTAGAGTGAAGGCTGACATCACCGCTGATCAAAAAATGCGATGGACGGAGAAGGCCTGAGCCGAGTAAGTCGTTTTGGTATTTACTAAAGTGGTCATATAAAGGAGTGCAAATTGACCCGTCTCCGAGTCTTGGTATCTCCGGCGGACGAACTTCTAGCCACAATCCGCAACAAAGCGAGGTGCTTCAACATATCGCTGATTTGCGCCCACGCCCCGATGGAAGAGGAGGACGATGCGACCAAATATGCATTCTATGCTTGGAGCGCACTTATGAGAACCCCCTGTCACGATGCCAAAATCGTGCTTGGAGACTTTAACGCCATGGTGGCCAAAGAAGGTATCTTTGGCGCAACAGTCGGTAAATTCAGCCTGAACGATGAACATTGGGTTGAGGCTGATCGACTTCGCCGGGGCCTGAAATATGGTTATCTGTAGTACTAGATCCCAGCATTGAAAAATTCATCAAGCTACTTGGTTGTCTCCGGATCGAAAAACCACCTCGCAATGTTACAATCAACCACAACACGTGCGGGATGGGATAGATACCGAAAACAGAATAAGGTAATGCTCGAAAATTCTACGAAAAGATGCGGCGACTAAGAAAAGGTTTAAGGACCGGAGCATTCTCTTGTAGAACTCCCAGAGGTGATCTACTGGCTGATGCCCAGAGCATACTAAAACCATGAAGGGAACACTTCGCCAGCCTATATCATTTTGCCAATATCGTGGCAAAGGCGAGCCGAAGACAAAGAAACCATGTAAAAGTTGTTCAAAAATCAGGGTTATGTTGACAGTTATCTCCGATTATCGAGGTAAGGTGCGGCCCGAATTTCTTCCGACAGCCCAAACTGTCAATAATCAATAATATTTAAGTGATATACATCAGTTGCGCGAAACTATTCGTAAAAATAGGCCGGAATTATGGGCCGACAACTCTGGTTGTTGCACTGCGATAATGACTTTTTCGCCAAATTTTTAACCGATATCGTGCCGAAACTACCATATACTCCTGATTTAGCCCCATGTGATTGGCTATTGGCAGGGAAACCAGTTTGAGTCAATTGAAGACATTAAACGTGAATCTCTTCATGCGTTTAAGACTATTCTAGAAATTGCTTTAGAAACTGTTTCGAGAATTGGAGAAAGCGTTGGAGCAAGTGTGTTGGTGCCAAGGGGGATTGCACTGAGGGGAACGACATAGATTTTGAAGAGTAAATTAAAATTTAAAAATTAAGAACAAAGTCTTACTATTTATATAATTCTAAAGCTAATGGTTGCTATCATTATGAAATGTAAAGTACCTACCGTAAAGTAAAAATAATCAAAGCTAATGCCTAGCATTACCTTAATATCTTTATGTTACATGGGCATCGGATTGTTACCACGCCCACTTTCCATATAACACAATTTCAAATTCATTTCAAAAAAGCACGCACAAATTGTAATTAAATTCCCAGGGTGAATGATATTTTAAAGAAAGGTATTTTGCTAATTCGGTAGGACTGCCCTTAATTACTATGCCAAATACGGTACACCTCAGTAATGCGTTGCGATTTTTATAATGTATAAAAATATCGAATAAAAAATGTGTCTAAATTTTTTTATTTCTACGAATGGTGCAAAGCTTTCAAAAACAGCCGAAAGATCGTTGAAGACATACCTCGTTCTGGACGACCTTTGACCTCTTCAACTGATGAAAATATTAAAATAGTGAAAGATATCTATAATATCTAAATGAAAAAATATGCTAAAACCGCTAAAAAACGAGGTGATATTCGTTGTATTTTCGATATTCGTGGATAGGTGCATCATAAATTTCTTCCGGAGGGACATGCTATCTATGAGGAGTTCGATTTGGCCATATTGAGGGGTTTGAGTGAGAATATTCCGCTGGAATTACGGAAGAACAATTCATGAATTTTAAACGATGATAATGCACCATGGCATCGAGGCACAATTGTGATTGAATTTAAAGCCAAAAACGCAGTGGGATATATGTGGTTTACATCAGGCGGATATTCTTTTTTGTCACAATTTATTTATTTTAAATTTATTTTCTTTCAAACGATAGCGAATAGTTCTTTCACTAATGGAAAAATATTTTCTTTATTCCATTCCAAAGTAACCATTTTTGGCGTTTTAAGGGGATCCTATTTGATTTCTCCCAACCACACTTTCTGTTGTCTTCCGATCCCTGCCTGTTCGATGTAAATTATGGGTGCCTTCTGATTTTTATATCTTTTATTTTGATAATAAATAGTTTGGAGTGATAAGTTATATTCGTTAGCGATATTTACGCCGTAAATAACAAAGTTAAACTTTGTCACTATTTAAATTCTTATTTTGTTATTTAATTCTGCCTTTTTAACCATTTGAACTGTAATTAACATTTTTTTTAAAGTATTCTGAGTAAAGAATTCGAAACAAGTAAAAAAACTTTTCTTTAACTTTACATACAAAGGCGATTGATTTACTCGATATCAAAATACTTATGCACTTCTCTGTATTTTAATATTCTCATCAGCCGAAACTTAGCATAAAACGGAATTGAGAAAATATTATACTCGTGTGTAGCTGTAAATGCGCAATTTTTTAAGCTGCTCTTTAATACAAAGCATATCAAGGCATGAAAGTCATGTGACGCGTGTGCCAAAATAATTGTGCCGACGTTTGTAAATTAAAATATGATTTTACTATATGAATCTACAATATTTACCTATACGAATGCATATTATTTCCTTTTTCTCTATACGCCTAAGTGAATTGTTTTACAGTCATCGAAATAAGAATAGTGTACAAACTAAAAAAGGGAATTTATCGAAGTATACAAGCGTTTTTTTGAAAATGAATGCATATAATCAATTGCGACCAATTTGTTCATTGTTGATCAGTACTTATTGGTGGCACCGGTACTTTTGTAGTACTGTTACTTTCTATTTAATTAGCGCTCATGTACATTCAGTGCGAAATAATTATGGTAGTTGTGGAGCCCCAGCGGGAATCTTCGAAGTTACTAAAGCGCGTCCGACAATTTTATGGGGAGAAACATCGCACCTTTCTATGTACCTCTACCAAATATGAGCCCTTAATATGGATGGTGCGTTGGGAGGAGTTCATCAAGCGTACTGGTGCTGAGAGGTGTGTAGTAGATGCTTGACACTTTTGTTTGTTTCTCAC